TGCTAAAAACGCGGCGATCCCTCAAAGTCTGTGGATGCTGTTCTATTCGCGCGCATTTATGGAGCTTCTGTCAAACGCGAGAACAATCTTCTTTTGTCGGAGCGCGTTTGAAAAGTTCAATCCTAGCTTGCGCCTATCTCGCGGGACTAGATTATTGCGCATAAATGGCGAAGGTATATACGAGCTGCAGGTTTTCAAAAGACGAGCCAGGTGGCTGGCTGCACTACTTTCACTACGTCTACAAGTCCGCGGTCGATCGAGCGACGATGCGACGCGACGCAACGCAACGCGACGCGTTTCCACGGAGTCGACGAGGATCGCTTTGTAACACTTTCACGATGCAATTATACCCAGCGGCGAATATGCCCGGTTCCAACGAGAGCGTGTGCGAGAGCGAGTGTATGTACGTACACATTCAACGAGAGAACGTCGCAGCAAACGCACTCGCGCACGCATATGCGTCGGCCGCCGATAGACACACCAGTGCGCGTCTACTAATAATACCAGTAATCATAATTAATTGCTCCGATCCTCGCCACGCCGATGAGATTGCCTCTCAGGAGCGCGCAGTGAAGTATGGGAGCTGTTCGGAGCATGGGGATTAATAATTTCTGGTACGTAAGCAAATACACAGACACGCGGTGATATTTATGATAACGCGCGCATGCCCTCTCTCTCTCTCTCTCTCTCTCTCTCTCACACATTGATGATTATATTTATGAAGAAAATTATTCTGTGAAATTATGAAACGCTTCCAATCTCTAATTTGTCCGGAGCTTTCTATATCTAGGAAAATTAAATTACATCTCTACAAATCTCATACATGAGCAAAATTGATACGACAATAAGTTTAATGTCACTTTTTTACCCTAATTTTAGATCATATCATAGCGCTCACTCTTTTTATCAAAGTAAAATGAAGGGAATAATATTTCGGATAACGTTTCGCCCCGAGTGTTGTAAAGATGCCTATGGGGTTCTCTTGACAACTGAAGCTTAGGTTTCATTAATTTTCACGCAGATTCGCCCCCTGGGAACGTACGTATGTATGCGAAGCGAGATGAAGAGCGAGAAAAGAAGAGAGGGTATAGAAGATATAGGGAGAGAGAGAGAGAGAGAGAGAGGGAGGAGGGGGAGGGGGACAACGCGATATCTCGGAGTCCGCGATCGTTTTCGTCTAACGGTCCATCGACGATTATCGGGCAAGATCTTGACGATAACATCGCGGAGACAAACATCGGGGATTCGTTCTCACGTTGCTGGCGACTCTCTCTTTCTCTCTCTCTCTCTTCCTCTCACCATGTCCGGCATGTGAAAGACGGTAGTTGCGCCCGTAGACGCGTCTGGGGCGGAAAAGAAAGAGGATACGGGACAATTAGCGGCTTTTATACGTTATACAGTAAATTGAGGCTAATCGCGAGAGACAAGCGAGGGAGAAGGGGGAAGGCCGAAAATGGAATTACGCCCTAATGACGGAAGCGGGTCGATTCATTTATGAAATTGCGTAAGCTCTCGGAGTCACGTCGGCGTAAATATGAGGGAAAACGAGGGACACGAGTAAGCCGCTGCGAGCGCTTATATTCTACATGCACGCGCGATTATATCCCCTCTGATGCATCTTGGGCTTTAAGATCGCCCGGATATATTTTTTGTATAATTGCATTATCACATAGATACATTTCAGTTTACTAAATTCTGTTTTATTCCGATTTATCTGATTATATAGCTTTCCACTATAAGTAATATAAAATTTATTTTCATTATATAAGAAAATATACCTAT